CATACAAGAACATAGTCTTCACATCCGTTTGTTCCAGTTCAAGGTCGAACTATGCCCCCATGGCAAGAAACATTCAAATGGACATGTGATTTACAACAGGAGAAAACACATAATTAAAGTCGACACCTTCTTTCTGAGTGAAACTCTTTGCAACCAAACTTGCCTTGTATCTTTTTGATACCACTCCTTTGATTCCTTGCTTAACTTTGAAAATCCATTTAGAACTGACTAACCTTTCTCCAGCAGGTTTCTTGATTAGTTCCCAAGTGTTGTTATCATGAAGATATTTTGTCTCATCATTCATGGCCTTCAACCATTCAGTCTTATTTCGACTTCTCATAACTTCCTTATGGTCTCTAGGTTCTTCGTCTATAATATCACTTATAGAGATTAAGGAATAAGCTATAAGATCTACATACCCAAGTCTCTGAGGTGGCTTGATGACTCTTCTCGTCCTATCTCTTTCCAGTAGGTAGTCATCGACAATTTCCTCAACTTCCTCAGCATCTTCTGCTTCTTCTTCGACTTTATTTAGGATACGCAATTCAGCATCAACATGCTCCACCTCAACAGGAATCTCTCACTGTTCTAGCTCTTCGTCAGATATTTCTGCACTTCGATCAGCATCATCAGTTTTCTTTAAAGTCATTTCAGCTTCATTGAAAACTATATCTCAACTGGTGATAATCCTCTTGTGACCTAGCTTTAGGCACCATAACCTATAAGCTTTGACTCCTTCAGAGTATCCCATGAACATGCATTTCACAGCTATAGGTTCGACCTTGTCTTTCCTAATGTGAGCATAGGCTACGCAACCAAATACTCTCAGTTTGTCAAGATCTGATGGATGTCCCGACCAAACTTCTTCAGGTGTCTTCATATCTAACATAGTCGAAGGACATATGTTTATCAGATATGTTATTGTCGAAACTGCCTCAGCCCAAAACACCTTCTTTAATCCAGCACTAGTCAGTGTGCATCTAACTCTCTCCAAAATAGTTCGATTAAACATTTCAGTCAAACCATTTTGTTATGGAGTACCTATAATAGTTCTATACCTTGCAATACCAGAGGCAGCACAAAAGCTGTCGAAACCTCATTGCAAAATTCAAGGCCATTGTCGGTTCTCAGCATTTTGACCTTTCTTTCCGTCTGATTTTCGACCAGAGTCTTCCAACTTTTGAAATTCTAAAAAGTTTCATCCTTAGTCTTCTGGATGAATACCCATAACTTTCTGAAATAATCATTTACTATGGATAGAAAATACCTTTCTCCTGAATGTGATGGACACCTTATAGGCCCCCAAAGATCAACATGGATGTAACCAAGGGATCCATGTGTTCTTTGTTTTCCTTTGTTGAACTTCACTCTACAAGATTTTCCAAGTATACAGGGTTCACAAAATTTAAGCTTTTCGACTTTGTCTCCACCAAGCAAATTTTGTTTCCCTAATTCGACCATACCCCTTTCACTGACATGGCCTAATCTCATGTGCCTAATTCGAACCACTTACAACTTCAGCCTCAAGGGTATACAAACCTTGCTTCTTCACGCCTCTCAAGACTTCCTTTGGTCCCTTCATGACTCTTAGGATACTTTTCTCTCCTTGTAAAACATATCCTTTCTTGTCTAATTCACCAAGAGAAATCAAATTTCTCTTCAAATCAAGTAGATACCTGACTTTAGTCAACAACTTTATTAACTCATCATGGAGCTTAAATATCACTAATCTAACACCTGCAATCTTGCAAGCTTTGTTGTTTCTCAGCAATATAGATCCACCATCTTGATCACATAACTCTTCGAATAAGTCTTTGTTTGGAGTCATGTTCCAAGTGCACCCTGAATCTATAATCCACTCCTTCGATGAGTTGCTGCTCAAAACCACAAGAACATCAAATGAGTCGAAATCATCTTGAATAATGGTTGAATTGCCATTATCCTTACCTCCATGATCTTTCAGGAGTTCAGGACACACCTTTCTTGTATGACCCTCCTTCTTACAATGATAGCATTGAATACCAGATGCTACCCCACTATAAGACTTCTACTGACTTTTACCTTTCTTCTTGTCGAACTTACCATCCTTTCGCAAGAATTTTCCCTTAACGGCCAAACCTTTACCAACTGTTGAAGTTTTATGCTCCTTTCGTTCGTTCAAGTCCTTAGAATACAAGGATGATTGAACTTCCTTAAAGGTCAGGGACTCCCTTCTATACAAGAGAGTTTCTTTGAAGTGAGCATGTGTTCTGGGCAAAGTGCACAATAGCAACAGTGCTTGATCTTCATCATCGATCTTCACATTAATATTTTCAAGATCAAGAATCAGCTTGTTGAACATATCCAACTGCTCAGCCAACACTTTTTCTTCAATCATCTTGAATGAATACAAAACTTGCTTCAGGTAGAGTCGATTTATCAGCGATTTGGTCATGTACAAACTTTCAAGTTTCACCTATAACCCTGATGATGTCGTCTCGTTTGATACTTGTCGAAGAACCTTATCACTAAGGCTCAACAAGATTACGCTGTGGGCTTTTTCTATCATTACCGTCTTTTCTTTTTTCGTTAACGTAATGTCCATAGCCGCGACTCCCTTCAACGCTTCCAAACAACCCTGCTAAACTAGTAGGGCTTTCATCTTCAAGTGCCACAGGCCGAAATCGTTCACTCTGATGAATTTTTTAATCTCATATTTTGTTGAAGGCATCTTCTCCATGCTCATTGCACGAATTTGTTGTGAAACACGATACCTTGGAAACAAAATATAATAGGTTTCCTTATTTGAGGGAAACCTTCAAGGGTAGAAAAAAAATGATAAACAAGATTAACGACAAGGATTGGTTATAACTATTATTATTTACTTTCTCTTCAAATCAGATTACAGGTATACAAGAATAACAAATAACTCTTTCATCCTAAATTAGGATTTGTAGTATGCAATGATGAGAGACTAGTATGTTATTTATAATAAACCTAACATACTAAACTAATGGTTTTTTTTTAATAAATATCCATTACAAACTAACTTAGGGTACAAGCTAACTTAAACAATTGGATATAACAAACAGGCCAAATTCGAAATACTAACAACCCTAGCATTTCGACATCCACATACTAGAACACACTTCGACTACAGTATGTGGGTCTTCGACACAAGCATGTGAACATACTTCGACGACATGCATAAATCATGTCAAACCAGAAGCTACTCTTCGACCCAATAGAGTTCGATTCAATATCTCACAGTGGGAAATCTTGTTGAGGGTGTATTAGTTTTAAAACTGATCGTACCTGATCAGAAGAGATCGTCAAGGCCCACAAGCTTCAAGTCGGGCAGCGGTTGAGTGTGAAGTGGATGGATACCTGCGAGACACTCTGATGCCAAAGTAAGGTTCAAAGTAAGTGCAAGTAGAATGTGAGTATAGATGAATAAACGAATGAATACTTGGCCCTCTCAAGTGAGGATATTTATAGCCCCCAGCGTTGGGACAAGGTCTTCAGTAATGGGCCATGATGAGTCCCAATAACGAAGACTGTCAGAATTTACGGGTGTATGGAGTCCAGTACGTGGCCTCCTCCCTGGTCAACTGTCCCGAGAAAGTAGGGAAATTGGACCTGTTATTCTCGGAGAGCGGGATGATGACGCTATAGACACATGAGTCATATTTTCCTAGTGGACACGTGGAGAAATGTCCAACGGACCTCAATTTGGACTGCACGTTTTGAGGCCTTTGTAAAGCCGCTGGATTAGGCCTCTCCAACGGTGGGAAAGGTATCAGCTCAGTCCAAAACAAAAACAAAATAAAAAAATTTAATTTTTTTTTCTAATTTTAAGTTTTTGTGATCAATTATTTTGATATCAAATAGAAAGTTAATTTAAGTTTTAAAATAAAAACCAAAAACTCACTACAAACCCAGACCATGTTTCTCATATCAATTAGTATAAGTAGGGATGTCAGTTTGGACCTGTTAATGGGGATCCCCGCGGGGAACGCCCCGTTCGGGGCCTCAAAGATGGGGAATTTTCCCCCGTGGGGGCGGGGATGGGGAGAAAAATTCCCCCGAGAGCATTTCGGGGACGGGGACGGGGAATACACCCCCCGCCCCGCGGGGACCCCGCCCCGCCTATTATTTTAATATAGTTAATTTAATATATATATTTTAGATTAGGTTTTTTAGTCATTTCCTTTATGTTTATTTATAAAAATAAATAAATAAATAAATACTCAAATACTAGTATTTTTTAATAACATAATAAATATGTGAATTCTTTGTGCTTTTTATTTTTATAGAAAATATAAACATTTTAAAAAAATAAAATATTAATGAATAAATGTAGGATCTATGGGGATCCCCGCAGGGAACGGGGATCCGCGGGGAACGGGGATGGGGATAGAAATTCCCCCGTGACGGAGATCGGGGACGGGGAATGAATTTGATGGCGGGGAAAAAGATGGGGAAGTGTCCCCCCGGCCCCGCCCCGCCCCATTGACATCCCTAAGTATAAGCAAAAGTTGGTAAAAAAATTGATATATTTGGACCAAATACATAAACTATACTGAGCAACTTTTTAAGTTTATCCAACACGGCTCAGTGCCCGTAATAATTACATAGACTTTATTGATCAAATTTTGAAGTTTATCCAACATGACTCAATGCCCATAATAATTAGTTGAAGTTAGACCAAAATGAAAGTAAAAACACCTTCTTTCTTTAATAAAGATTACACTAGCAGTTTGGCAAACATCATAACTTGAAACCAAAAATAAACAGCATTGGACAATTGAATTTGAATTCAAAGTAAACAATGTTACACATGTATCAATACACCAAAACTAATAGAATCACAATTTGCTACTCTGTCCTAGTATACACAACATATTTTGCACTAAGAACTTTTCAAGTTGTCACTATATGCATAATAAGAACACTTGAAAAGTAAACAATTTCTTTTTACATTAAAGAATGAACAAAATGAAACCGTGGAATGCAAACATTCACTGTGATTGGTGTTGAAGATTCAAATTCAATCTCAAAACTGTGTACTCATAAGCTCTATGCAACCTTTTTCTGAATCTTCTAAGGTCTAATTTAACATTTTGGCTATCAAGATAAATCTTCTTTGTATATTCCCACCCTTTGTTGGTAATGCTATCAGGATCACTCAAAATAGGATCATTTTTATCATACTTGTCATACAAAGAGCTTTCTTTAGGATGAATTTCATATCCAATATATTTCAAACCAAGTTTCCTTGCAGGTTCACCATAGTAAGTATCTGCAGCCCAATTAGTACCAAGAGGAACAACTTGAATGAACACAGATTTAGGTTTCATGAACATAAAATGTGTCATTGCAGCTCCATGAACACCAATCATCACATCACTTTCATTAAGTACCTTATAAATCTTTGCCAACTCCGAAGTTTTTTTAGGCTTTAAAACCGCGACATGAAATCCGATTTCTTCAGCCATTTTCACTAGCAAATTCTCATTTGTTATAGCTCTTGAACCACTTCTAGAGACAATAACTAGCTTCGGTTTTGGCGGCGCAATTTCTTCCACTCCTTGTGGGGTTTCTGGTTCTGATCGGGATAAAGGAGATATTGTGTTTTGTTGTTTGGATTTCTCTTGTAGTTCCCTTCCCTCTTCGCGAATTAGTCCTTTAATCCGAGGCAAATAAGCTTTATCCAAAAGCTTTCTGAAATCAACAATGCTTTTGTTACCTTCCATCAACGAGGAATCTACCGCGAGCTCATCGTGGATTTTGAGACCAACAATTGCTTCATTGAAACAATGAGTCCGGTTATCTTTGCTAAAATCAATGGGTGGAAATTCCGATAGATGAGAAAGGATATCACGATATTTCATGATCCACCAATCATGATATTCAAGTATGACAAACACAACCTTCATGTTGAAATGCTGTGAAGTGATGTACAAAGGTATGATTCCATCGTTGAATTCGTGATAAACGTTCCCAGTGTATCCTCCATTAGAGAAGAACACCGCTGGAACATCATGTTGTACATCACATTTTCGAACTCTCCGCGAATCCACTTTCTTCGAAACAAGATTCAATTCATCAATTGTGTCCATCACACTTGTCTCCCATTTTCTAGTATACGGCTTAATCTTGTCTTGTTGAAGAACTTGATCAACATTTTCACTTGAAAAATTATTTTTGTTTATTGAATTGTAGACGAAGATTGAAGAGGAAGAAGATTCTGTTCTTATATCACCTTTCATAACACAGATATCAGAACGATGACCAGTTCTATCACAACATATAGTTCCGGTAGAAACTGAAGAACATGTAGAAGGTTTTACATCAACACCGTCTTGGTTTGCATCATTTTCAGGTCCATTAGAGTCTGAAAAACAAGAAAAGAACATTAACACAAAGCAAAATAAGAAAAAACAACAAAATCAGAAACAGGTTTTGGAATAGGGATGCTTACATAAAAGAGATAGAGAGAAAGAAGGTCCAAGGAAGAAAGGTGCGAAGACATAGCAACAAGAGAGAAAGGTGATGAGGAAGAGAAACGAGAGAAGCTTAGGTTTTGTCCTCTTGTAGTATACAGAGGTTGAACAGTCCATGAGATGAATATGTGACTCTTCGTCTTTGATGGAGTCTGAGGATCTTTTACGGTGGTGGTGAACCATTATGTTGTCGGGAGAGAAAAAGAGAGAAGAAAGTATAGTATAGTTTGGTTTGAGGTGAGGGTTTTATTTGGCTTGTAGATGATGGGAAAGAGAATAAAAAGGAAAGTGGGAAGAAAGAAAGAGATAAAAGTTGGAAAAGGAAGGTTTGGAGTTTGAAGAAAGTAGGGGGAACTCGGTTTTCTATGCTGTTGTTGTATTGCTTGAGAATTCAGACACGCACACAGCACAGCTATTTGTATAGTTTACGTTACTTTGATTGATTCATATCTGGTTGGCTTGGTGTCTTGGCTCTAGTCTATTCACGCGCAGAAATGTAAGACTTTATACTTTCTTTTCATTATGACTTAGAATGTCATTTTGGGTGTGTATTTCAAAAATAATAATTTTATACTAACAACCCAAAGTCAGATTTATTTTATTTTGTTAAAAATATTGAAATTTAATTACAATTTTAATCTCCTTTCTTAATTTTTATTTTTATTTTATAAATTATTATTTTAGTTTTTTTTTTAAGTTTTATTTTATTTTTGTCCATTTAATCCTTTTTTTAAGTTGTTATTTTAGTTTAAGTTTTACTTTAAATTTTGATTCTTTTTTATTATTGAGATTAAAATTATAACTTAAAATATTAAAAAAATTAATTAAAAGAACTAAAATTATAATTAATTTTAATTTTTATAGAGTCTATAAATTTTAGTTAAAAGGGTAAAAATCAATAATGCTGAATAAAGTTTAGTAAATGATGACAAAATTTAGTAGTTAATATTTATCCGTCTGATAACATAAAAAAACACTAATATTAAAAATAGAATAAATATTTAAGATTTTTTATTAGTTATCACAAAAATTTAGATTTCATTAAAATTTATTTAAATATTATTAATTTTGTTATAAATATTTGGATTATTCATCTCATAATAATTTTATTTTTTATTTAATCAATTTGTATTTATTATATTATTTATATGATTTTTTTTTTAAATATGATCAATCTTATTATATACAATTATATCGATGAAATAATATAAAATTATTCTATATTTCTCTCTTCTTTTTATTCTTTATTTCTCTTTATTTTATAAGACGTTATCGGCACGAGCTCTAACATTTAGAAAATACTATTTTTTTATTCTTTATGTGTTATTTATAAATATTGATTTGAAAAGAAAAAAAATCAACGATGATTTTCATGTTTCTAGAAGGATTGCATAAATAATGTTAAAACATCTTTGAAGGATTGCAAAATAAATTATTCATATAGTTTTTGAAGAACTTATCAAACTATCTCGAAAGGATAGCAAAATAAATTATTTATATAGTTCTTAAAAAACTTATCAAATTATCCTTAAAAGATAGCGAAACAAATTATTTATATAATTTATGAAAATTTTATTAAGTATTTATAAAGGATAACAAAACAAATTATTTATATTTTTTTTTATTTATGTCTGGTCGTATTTGTTTTTTTTGGATGCCGAAAAAAATCAAAATATTAATCATGTTTATTTAATAAATGAATTTATTTTATAATATTATTGACAATTTCATTTTGTAATACGCCGAACAAATTCTTGATAACGTTTTATAATTCTGTTTTGTTGATCACGCTTATTTGATTTTAATTTGCCTTGCACTTGCAGTAGCTTACATATAAGAAATTAAGAATAAATGTTGGTAACATGAATTGAAACTTTATTTAGAATATAGGTTTTACATTCATTTGAACAAATTGATATGAAATTAATTCATCAAATATAAACTATATATATATATATATATATATATATATATATATATATATATATATATATATATATATATATATATATATATATATATATATATATATATATATATATATATTGTTTTGGATTGGACCAACACTTGCTCCACTGTTAGGGAGACCCAATTCAGTGTCTTTATCAAAGGCCCAAAAGCATGAAGCTCAATCTAAGAACCGTTGGGCTTTTTTCCACGTGTCCGCTAGGAAGACGTTGCCTATGTCTCCATATCATCATTATACTGCCTTCCGGGAATAACGGGTTCAACCCTTGTTTTCTCAGAGCAGTTGACTAGGGAGGAGGTCACGCGCTGGACTCCATACACACGTAAGTCCTAGCATTCCTCGTTGTTAGACCTCATCGTGGCCCATCATCGAAGACTTTGGCCCGACGCTAGGGGCTATAAATACCCTCTCACTTGAGAGGGTCAGGTATTGATTCATCCATATTCTCATACTCACTTACTTGCATTAGCTCTGAACCTCACTTTAGCATCAGAGTGTCTTGCAGGTACCTCCCCCCCCCCCCCCCCCACTTCACCTTAAACTGCTGCTCGACTCGAAGTTTGTGGGCTTTGACAATCCCTTCTGGTTAGGTACGATCAGTGGCGTCGTTTGTGGGAAGCTAGCTTCCCCGTCTCCATCTCAAGACTAAAGCAACTCTCCATCAAACTCTGTGATTGTCATGGCCGACCAAGCTACCAACAATAACCAAAACGCCCATCTCGCCGAAATCAACAACAACATCGGCAACAACATTGGTAACAACAACGCCGGGAACGACATCGACATGGCCGATCTCGAGCAGAACTATAGAGACGGGTTGACCGCCTCTTCGTCATCTCACTCTCGACCGCACGAGGATGTCCATCCCCCCTAGAAATATGAACCAAATGCTTTCCAAGAGGTCCCCGTCCCCGCTGATGCTAATGCCACGACCAAAGCTCTATTCGCAGCCATCAACCAAATGAACTACTTGATCTTCTCACATGGTGAGCGGCTAAGGGTGCTCGAACAGACTCATCGAGCCCCTAAAATACACGGGAGACCTGACATTCCTTCTCTCCATTAGAACAAAGACCGTCCTCAGTCTCCCCCGCGGAGACACAGACATGACAGATCGTGAAGCCTATCTCCCTGACGAACTAGGCGAGGTCCCGTGTTGGAGAGGACACAGCCCGAAGCCATGGGGCTCTGCGTAGAAGCAATGCTCAATTACCACAACATCAGGGGGCCTATTAAATGTCGGTTGTTCCCCACGACCTTAAGAAAAATAGTCATGGACTGGTACAAGAACCTCGCCCCAGGTTCGATCACCTCCTGGAGGGACCTCAAGAACCAGTTTATTAGCTCCTTCACAACGTCTCGTCGACATCCAAAGAATGAGACCGCCCTCGAGGCAATCGTCCAGAGAAGCAGCGAGACCCTCAGGGAATATATTGGTCGATTCAACCGCAAGGCCATTCAGGTCCCATGCACCGATCACATGAAAAGACACCTACTCGAGAGAGGACTTCTCCCGGGCACTAAATTCAAGAAAGCCGTCGGCATTGAGCCGCCCAGGTCTTTCGACGCTCTCCTCGAAAAGGCCATGGACTACATAGACTACGAGGAGAAAGAAGCAGTAAATAAAGCTCGTGAATCGAGGAATCATTGACCAACTAACGTCCTGCGGCACCAAGATGCGGGCCCTTCTCGATGGATTAGAGAGAAGAGACGGGAGGAGAAACGGCATAATCCCCACGATCATAGAGGACCGGCAGGATGGTTCATAGAGTACACTTCGTTGATCGCTTCTCGTGAGTGCATCCTGGGGGAATTCTCTAATACCGAGTTCAAGGACGACGACATCGGATGTCCTCGACCCGCTCCTGCAAAGCTTGGGACTGACAGAATGAAATAATGTCAGTACCATCACAGCCACGAGCACTTGAATGAAGATTATGTCCACCTCAAGGATGCCATAGAGACTCTCATTAAAGTTGGGAGACTTAGGCAGTATAGACGCAGCGACGCCCATCACTGAAATACCCACGAGGCAAAAGATGTCAAGGAAGAAACTCGACCGTTCGATGATTCGGGCCCCATCCAGGTGGCTTTCTCTGTGACAAGGCCAGAAGACTTCCACGTCCCTGGTAGCTACAAGGACGAACCCTGGTCCATGCACAGCAGATGGGAGAAATTCCCCTCTACCATGGTTATATCTGGCAGGGGATTCAACGATGTTATAGTGAACTCAACAAAGAGGAAGCTCGACGAGTTGGTGGATGCATCCCTAATCCAGGCTGTAACGCTCGAAGGGTTCAAAGGAAAATCTAAACCAATCACCTTTTATCTTGAGGAACTCCCCAGTGGTGCCCCGAACTCAGGTAATCCTCTGCTGGTGAGGGCAAGGATGGTCAACTTTGACGTCCATCGTATTTTGGTCGACGAGGGGAGTTCCGTCGGTGTCATGTACAGTCATTTACTCAGAACCCTGCAGCTCGATGATGCTCACATGTCACCATATGTAGGGTTCGACCTACAAGGGTTCAATGGCTCAACCTCTAAGTTATGGGGTTACGTGGAACTCTTTGTCACCTTCGTGGAAGAAACTGCATCTCGACAAGTCAAGGTGTGATTTCTAGTGATTAATTATCTATCTCTGTACAACTGCATCTTGGGAAGATCGGCATTGGCCGAGCTGACCCCCGTAGCCTCCACCGTCAATCTGAAGATGAAGTTCTACACCAGAAGTGGATGCGTCGACACCATCTACGGGGACATCTCAACGACCATAAGATGTTTTCATGCAGCCTCTAAAGGGCATAGCATGGTTGACGTTGGAGTGTGACCCGTCAAAAGAGCAATCACTGTTCAACTTGAATCAAAGCTTGCTCGGATCGAAGAATAAAGAGCCCCGCCAAAGGTCGACTTCATCTCCCTCGACACTCGCTTTGACAAAGATGAAGTCTAAACCCCATGTGGTGAACGAGATCCTCTCCGGCCTATTCTAGACGGGGACTTCGAGTTTATCTCTCTCGGTGAAAACCCTCTCAAAGGTGTAAAGATTGGCACCGGACTCCCTGACCTGGTGAGGAAGCAGCTCAAAGCATTCTTAAGGGAGAACGCAGATTTTTTCGCGTGGAGTGTTGCGGAGATGCCTGGACTCGACCCCGAGGTCGCCTATCACAGACTTGTCGTTGATCCATCTGCTAGGACAGTATTGCAACGTAGGCGT